TGAGATTGGGAGTTGCAGGGCAGGATAATGATATGTATCCCACAATCCCTGTGTACCATAGCAAAGCTATACAGCCAAGGGCTCTTTTGGATTACTTGCAATTGATTGGAGGGAATCATCTGGGTGCTTGATTCATATAGACTCAGTCTTGACCTACTGGACGACTTCCCGTCAAATCTGCGGGTCTCCCAGAAGTGATTTAGAGGCCTTGAAAGCTAGATTTCCCAGTGAAATTCTAGACTTTTCGGGTCTAAATCGACATCTGCGAGGGTCGCAGATCCGACGGGAAGTCCTCCACTGATGATATGAGCACCCAGTTTGGCCTCAAAATCGATCACAATGTCAAGACCCATACTGAAACATTACATCTGAGCTTCACACCAGCAAATATCAATGCTCACTACATAGATGCCAGGGAAAATCATGTAACATTGATCACTGCTCCTCTGTAGCTCCAACTCTGTTGCAACCCAAATACAATGACCCCTTTGTGTCCTACAGGGAGCTGAGGCACAGTTCAGCTGGGTATGTGATGGCTAGCATGCTGAACCTGGCCTGATGTTAGAGATGGTCGATTGGCATCCGGATATCCGCGCGGATGCGGATATCCAGCTGCTTTTTCTGGCCATCTGAGCATCCGCACCCGCTGGCGGGTATCCTTTGTAGTGTGCCAAATGTGATGTAGTGTGCCAAATGTGTTTCAAGTACCAAATTGCATAAAGTCATGATCCACTCTTGATAATAGATTATATTATTGATTTTTTTTATTGCATATTTGAATTCTACATCAAATTTAACCTATAGTCAATCACTGGAACCACTAGGCTAGCTCAACTCAGTCAGAAGTTATTTAGATGTTAAGGTTATGATAGAACATGATTACAAAGCATAGTGGTACATTGGTAGTGCATAGTATATATTTAAAGCTAGGTAAATGGTTAGGGCTAGAACCACAATCTAGCCATTTTTGAAATTATCAGTTAGGGCTAGAACCACAAGCCAGCCGGTGTGTAAATAGACTATATAAACAGGCCTTTTTGCCTCCCTCAGTTCAAGCTCCTCATGCAATCCCAGCATCAACATATATCTCACTTGGAGATTTCAACCCATTAATAGGGGTGATCTCAAACAAGTATCTCATCATCACACAGCCTGGCCAGCTGGTGATCATCATCAACAACCCCCCCCCCCTCCCCTTCTTCAACACCTGTGATCTTAATCAGGTTCTTAGATAGCTTGTCTCATAGCACTTCATATATATCAATTGATCTAAGTCTGATAGAGACTACCAACGGTGCCACAGATACGAGACATGTATTTGTATCGGATCGTATCGTATTTATTTTGAGCCTGATACCGGTATCAGTATTTCCTTGGTTGGTGAAAAAATACATTGTATCGGATTTGGATTTAAAAATGAAAAAAAAAAAATTCGTCTTCGTTTTTTTTAGTTTTTTCTTCAATACAGCCAAATATCTTAAGTATCAAATACGGTTTTGGTGGGATCAGTCATCTGAGACGATACAGAATACATTTCTCACTTTTCAAATACGATACATGTATATGTCTCAGGAAAGTGAGACAACACAAATCCGGTATTTTTGGGTATTCCAATTCTGAGACGATACAGATAAACACCTGATACCGTATCGTATCGTCTCTGTGGCACCGTTGAGACTACTACATAAAGGTTTCTCTATAGACGTTTTGGCACATCAATATATAAATTTTTGTTGTCAGAATTCTTGTTTAGTACAATAGAGGGGCAGGTCTTTCAAACCACCCGTAACAATATATATCAAACAAGCGCAATATCATATTTGTTATTTCCCCCTCACAGGACTGCCACCATTCCCAAAGGAGTTCTCACACCGTCAGCCGCAGCGGGTATCCTTGGATACCCGCCCTCTAAAGGGCTGGCTGGAAGGGCTTCCTTCCAGCTGGTGAGGTACAAGTACCTTGACGGCTGGAAGGGTCTCCTTCCAGCTGGCGAGGTACAAGTACCTTGACGGCTGGAAGGGTCTCCTTCCAGCTGGAGAGGTACAAGTACCTTGACGGCTGGAAGGGTCTCCTTCCAGCTGGCGAGGTACAAGTACCTTGACGGCTGGAAGGGTCTCCTTCCAGCTGGCGAGGTACTTGTACCTTGACGGCTGGAAGGGTCTCCTTCCAGCTGGCAAGGTACTTGTACCTCGATGGCTGGAAGGGTCTCCTTCCAGCCGGCCATCTCCCCTTCCGCCCGCGGGTATCCTTTGGGATACCCGGATACCCGCCAACTTTTTGCGGAAAAGGGGCCATCCACACCCGAATCCGCACCCGTTGGCGGGTATCCGTTGGCACTGGCAGGTATCCGCCAGCGGATAACGGGTATCCGCGACGGATACCCTTTGACCATCTCTACCTGATGTCACTGGTCATTTAGTTATCCTTGTTCTTTCCTGGTGCTTGAGGATGATTTGATGTGCTTATAAAAGGGGGAGGTTCACAATTGAAATTTATATATAAAGTCTTTATAGTCAATTTTAAGGTCCTTATCATCAACATTTTGAAATTTTGACAAGTTGCACAGGTTTGATCAGGGTGTCTGAACAAGAAGAAAAACTTTATCATTTTTCAAAAAGGTTTTGAGAAACACCTTAAAATGGGTTTCAAAAATTGTGGAAATTTCAATTTATTGTCAAACAAGTGGTTCCGGTGACTGCGGTGCACGATGCATAGACCCACATCGTTGGTCAGTATTCAATATGAAATCTTAAACTCAAAAACTCGGCACGCTTCTGCCCCAGAGAAGTGGACAACCCATTGAGAACAATAATCATCTTGAACCACCGCCTATCATCAAGTCCCTTAATCAACTATCGACCAACACCCAAACTGCTTCATTCTTGTACCGCCTAACCGCTCTTTCAAGACCAACAAAACTCAGGAGGAGCCAGAGTATATTACAAGTGGAGGTACACTCGACTCAATTTCTTTCCCGTCTCTTTATTCCTTATTTGTTCTAAGACTTCTTGATTATTGATCTCATTCTTTTTTCTTCCGGCTTGTTTATCTCATTTCTCCTAATACTGTTTCTCGTGTCTAAGTTTGAGTTGTAGTCAGGACAAGAACATCTGAAGGTACTTAATGATTTCTTTTCTTTCTTCACTTCAATCTTAGCCTTAATTGTTTTTTTTTTCTCTCTTTTGTTTCAAGTTCTTTACTACTATTAGCTTTTGGATATTAGTTGCAATAAAGTATTTGATCTCAAAATCTTACATTTATAATTAATCTATAAGGAGGATTTGGCATAATGTATGGCAAAATTTCCTTCCTCTATATCAGTGGTGGGCTGCTACGCTTCTGGCCCAAAAAGCGTAGCGTAGCGGCGCTTTTTTTTCATCCAAAAACCGTAGTGTTAGCGGGTTTTTGCTACGCTACGCTGCGCTAGAGCGCTTTTAGCGGAAAAACCGGCCAAAAACCACTGTAGCGCAGCATAGTGGGCCCCTTTTTTGCGGCCCACACGCGTAGTGTTAGCGGTGTTGTGGCGGAATTCCGCTACGCTACGCTAATCGCTAACAGCGATTCCGCTGCGTTACGCTACACTAACCGCTACGGTTAGTGTAGCGGCCCACTGTTGTCTATATGAAAAAATAGATAATTATGGTTTCATAGCATGATGAGAGTCAAACAAGAGCCAATGTCTCCAAAATGGTCATTAGGGTTTTGATCCTCGAACCATCTGTGCAATGACAGCCCAAACAATCAAAAAAGAAAGCAAAGCAAATACATCAAGGATACTTTTTTTCCGTTTATCCAGATTATCAGTGTTGTTGAAATATCTTGAATTGCTATTTGATGTTTTGATTCCTGGAAGTTTACTTGTGATTGGTGGGTGTGCTTCTGATATTTCTGTTGAGAAGGGAGAAGCGCTCCCTTTTTGAATTGAGTCACTCTGATCTGTGAACCCTCCTCTACTCATGCTTTGAGATTTTTCAAGACTTTTTTGGATATTGTCTCCCATTGAAAATCGGTCAACCAGAAATTTTCTGGAAGCAGTACCAGGGCTAACTGGTAATAACGGCATAGATGCTAGTCGGTTAGATTGCTTTTCTGATGCTTCGCCAATATCGGAATGATAAGGATCTTCTATGTCCAATCTAAGAGGAGCTGGATAATGCGAAGCAAAGGTGTTTTCCACTGTGCGCAGTGAGGAACTTCCTGGAGACTCTCCTGGTCTTGGAGCCCTGGTTTCTGCTTGATCAATATCAATAATGAACGCTTGCTTTTCCTGATTTTTTTTCATAAAGAGTAATTTGTCAGCTGACAAATATTATTCATAAGTTTAATATGATCAGAAGAAAGCCTACTTCCTGACCTGGACCATTCATAATGGCCTGATATGAAGGAATAGCGCTCGATCCTCCACCACGATCCGATTCCAAAATAGGATTTTGGTCAGAACAATTCTCATTGATCGGATTGATGAGGTGTGTTAAGCTGTTGTATCCTTCCGCAGACTCTTCGACATTTGAAGTGTCAACCGGCGATATCAGTATATGTGAGGGGCCGCTTGCCAAAACGCATCCAAGCTGCTCATCGCAAGAAAACAAGTTTCAGTTCAAAGTTGTAGGACTTTGGGTGCCACCGCGCGGCGAAGCAAGACACACTACTTAACTTGAAGGATCATCAGCCAGGAAACCATGTTGCAAGAAGAGCCAGCAATCATAGAAACAACCAAGGCGGGTCGCTGAACAGTGTTTATTCAGGTAGGTGGGGTCGCCTTGTGGTTATCAGTACATCAGGCTTATCAAGAATAGAGGAGCTTGATGAATCTCTTGGATATTTGACAATGCTTTCTTTTGAGTTTGTGGATTTATATTTGTCTGCGGCATTCAGTGGCGTTAACTTTCAGGGTATGGGACTTGTGACAAAGAGCTTTCATACTACATAAACAAGAACATAAACAGCTACCTTTCCTTGCTTCTCGGCGAAGCGCCAGGTGGGTAAGAGTAGGCAAGGATGGACTGCGAGTCATGTCCCGTGAAGTGAGGCCAGTTCTCCATCAGACATACTTCAAGTCCTCGAGTTCCCACAAGCCAGCTAGCTGTGTGACGCCCCATACGAGGATGTATAGGTTGATATGCTTCGTCGCCGTATCAAGGTGATCAAAGATTCAAACATGTTTGGCTGGCAGGCTCCACCATTACAGATCTAGTGGTCCATGGTATTGTGACATCAGTGTTATATTCACATCCGATATTTCTGAAGACTGGGACTGTGGGGACTCGGAACGCTTGGGCCGAAGAATGTTTGTAGGCCTCGTGCAAACACCTTCGTATCGAGAGTATGAACCTTTGTTTTGTCTTTTTCGTTGGGACCTTTGAGAGTCCCATACGGTCGGGTTGAATGACAAGAGTATCCAAATAAATCTGCACAATTGATAGGACTATCCAAGTGGAATCGCAAGGTCTGAGAACGCCAATTGTGGAGGTCTACTTCATTACATGTTCGTGATCTTTACATGGAAGCACCATGGCAAGAGAAGTTTAAAGTCCAAACCCAGTCAAAATTTATTCAAATTCAACTTATTGATAGATTTGGGTTAGATGATTGATGTTACGTGTGATATTTTCCTATTTCCTATGATTGTAATTACTAATTAGCCAATGTCAGACCATGCATGAGATTCGAGGAGAAATGATTACAAAATGCATGAAAATAAAAACACAATCCACTTCCTGATCACTGTACTTTTCAGGATTTAAAGATCAGACTGAGAGCCATAGGTACGGCAGTCAAGAAACAAGCAGAAAGAATGCACATAAGAAGCCACTAAGATAGTAGCGCATCATCAATCTCAATATACTCCAAGCAAAGCTTGGTACGACTGGAGCCACTGGCTATGGGTGTTGCAGAAGAGTCCGGATTCAAGCTCGCTCGATTCTTTAGCTCCAGTAACTTTCTAAAGCACGCCACCCGATCTTTTTCCTTTTTTTTTTTTTGGTGTAGACAGGTTTGTTGATCATGATTTGATGCCGGGGAAGATAAGCCAGTCAGTGCAGGAAATGAAAATTCAAGCAAAGGAACTGTGATCTCGAAACGCTCACTGGATAATTGCGAACAAGCGCAGAAGTGCTAGGACAAACGAAAACGAAAGTGTGGCTGTATTGATCTGCATCAGCAGCTGTTGATTTCGATTGGCCTTTGTTGATGCGACTAGTTTTCTGAGATCTGAATACAACGTTCTGCAAACCAACCACCGTTTTCTGACTTGGTGATTGCCAGATAGATGGGAGCAGATCACGAGATTTTCGCAGTTTTTTCTTCAAGTAACTACAAAGCTAATATGTAAAACAAGCACACTCATTTTATCATCTCATTTCACTACCACGATCATACATAGTTTCAAGAGAACAACAAACATAAAGTTTGTACTGACATCATGGTATTGTTTGATCCCAACAAAACACAAGAACCGAGGTTGGAACCTTCTTATTTTTCCAAGTAAAACCGGCACACCTTGAAGGCGTTCGGAACCCGATAGTTCGTTTGCCTAATAGCAATTGACAAGACAGGCAAAAAAAAAACGGTTAAAAATCGGTGCGCTTTGGAGAGGTGTTCTGCTTTACCTCAGCCGTCGGACGACAGACTAAATCAGTCAAGCCCAACCCGAATTCGGACGGCAACAAGTGATCATCGTGAGGAGATAAACGATGAGGAGTAAATCCTTCGCGAAGAGAACATAATTATCCTCACGGTGAGTCTTTGAGAGTAGGCTCATACTGCCAATTTTAAATGAACAAAAAAAAGGAGAGGAAAGGGTAGAGGTCAAGTAAAAGGACTGACCACTCAGAAATAAAGATTTCCAAAAATGGTTGGATCGATGTGCATAATAATGCGAAATTTTGGCCGATTGACATCCAGGACTTATTGAGTTGATCAGAATGGGTCAGGGATTCATTTGTTTGAACATTTCTTGTTTTTCTCGGGGATGGCGGTTTCCTATAATTGCCGAGTAAAAGAGAGACACTAACTTTGAACCACAAAAAAGCACTTTTAAAGAATTGCGCGGACCGAGTCACCAAAACATGAGTGAGTTATAAACTCCTGGTGGAATGTCCAAGAAAAAGAGAATTAGTCCATATGCGCACATACCGTCCAGACTGGGAGCAATCAAATCAGGTAAGTGATTTAAATGTTGGTACACGGCCGGGGCGGCATATTGGCGAGCTTTCTTTTGCTTTCGTGGTGTGTGAGCGGGAAGGCCTGGCTTAAAGTGTTTGGAGATCATCACTTTCTCGTGATCATCGCAGGTGTCTTTCTCGCAGGCAATTGAGGCCGAAAAGGACGACGCCGAGAGTGATCGGTTTCTTTTCTGTTAGGTATTATACAAGGTTTTTTGGGGGGCATTCACGAAGAGCATCAACAAGACATCGGTGGATTCGATTGCAATGGTATAGGAAATGATGGACGAATGGGATCCCGACCTTGGCTAATGCTCGGGTGACAACGCGCTCAGTCCTATTGCCACTGAAGTGGCAGCCTGAAGAACCGTCATCCTTGGATTTTGCCGAAGCCTTCGAAGCGAAGTATTTGGACTGAATGGAATGAAGGCTTTGAAGTCAGTCTGACGATTCAATCTCCATGCAGCAAGTCAACGATGTACATAAGTTAAGAAGAGCTTCTGCTTCACCTGGAGAGTTCCTGGAGACATATCAACCGGGCCAGCCAAGGCTTCGGAAGTTCGGTCCCTCAGATCGTATGTATACTCGGATTTCGTAGGTCTTACTATTGAGATTTTCCAATGTAAGCATGAAGAATAAGATGCAGTGGGATATGCCAGTGGCTTATATAATCCTCGGGGTTCAGGATTTTGGCCCTTCATAAGAGAAATTCATGATTCATCAACTTCATGCTAAGTAGCTTCAATCTTCTGATGTTTTCCCAACAAACAATTGAGCTTTACAGCCAGTAATTCTAGCTTTAACACTAGAGCCTGTAAAACCAACAGGAGGAAGTCCCAGGAAGTCCTCCATTCTTCTCAATCATCAAAGCTTGACTGTTGATCAGCCGTTTTGATAATTATCAATGCAAACCATCTCTTCTTACAACTACAACTACTGCTGCTGTTGCTACTGCTCAAGACACCAGTTTGAGTGTCCACTCACTTGACTTCCAAATTTTTCACATCCACAAATCACATGGGCATACATATCTTGAAGAAGGTTCAAGGAAAAAACATACTGATCAATGTGGTCAACTTGCAATTATCTGCAGGGATTTTCCATCACCAGTGATCAAGAAAGAAGAAGAAAACCCTTGGAAATCGGTTTATGTGTATGATGAATTGGCAACAACACAAAGAAGAAGAAAAAAGTTGATTATTTGAGTAGTTGTATGACTGTGATTTGTTTTCTGATACATTGCATTCATTTCTTGTTAATATAAAGCCCACCCCAAAAGAGAGAGAGAGAGAAACAATGAGACAATGAAGGTATGTGAGTTACTCGGAATGATTAAATGAAGAAACCTTGATTGATTGATTGATTGAGTCATGTTGGAGGGAAAAAAAGGAACAAAATAATTTAGAAAATGGGAAGAAGAGAAGAAGATAAGTTCATAAGGTTGATCATAATGTTCATTATAAAGAAAACAACTGTATTTGTATAGAGAATGTGTATAGAGGGAGGAAAGAAGAAGAAGAAAAAAAACCCATTTAGTTTAGTTGATGAAAAAAAAAAAACATTGAATTGAGAAAAAGAAAAAAAAAGGCATGGAAATGGAAATGGAATGATTTTTTGGTTTTGGTTTTGTTTATCAAAGAAAAAGGAGGAGGGATAATTGGAATTAAGGGAAAGAAGAAGAAGAAGAAGAAAGAAAAGAACGAATTGAGTTATATAAGAATAAGCCAGAGAAACCCATGGAAAAGGAAAAGCTAGATACTTTTGTCTAAATGAAAAGAGAACGGGAGGTGGGGGAAGGGGTAGGGGGAATAAACTACTACTAACACTAGCTACTACTTGAGAAATCAAAAAAATCTAGTTCATCAAAAAAAAGGATGCTAAAAAAAGAAAAGAGAGATAATAGCTTGTCTTTGAAAGTGAGTGAGGATAGTTAAACAATAAATCGAGTGTGTAAGTAGTAGTGATGAAGTGTGTGTGTGTGTTTGCTTATCCAACTCCGAGAGAGAGAAGAGAAAGAGTGATCAAATCGATCGATTCATAAACAATGAGAACATCATCGTCATCATCATCATCATCCGTTGTTGTCATCTTTGAGGTCGACGAGGCAGCAGAAAAGGAGAGGAAGAAGGGTGGAAGGGGGCAGATAGAGTGGGGATGAGTGAAGAAAGAGGGAGGGAGGGGAATTATACAGTCAAAAGAAGGTAAAGAAAGAAAGTGAAAGGAAGGGGTGGGGGGGAGGAGAGATTGAGTTAGCGGATTGCGGCGAGGACGCCGTACCAGCCGCCGCCGATAGCCGTGATCAGACTTAAAGAGCAAGCGAGAAGGACGGGAGAGTAGTTGTGGAAGAAGCCCCTTGCGCCGGAACAAGTGGAGCAAGTCCAAGCTAAAAAAAAAAAAAACAAGATGTGGACGGAGCCGGGGGAGGGGGGTCAGTTTGAGCCTGATGAATAATCCTACAAACAACGAGAGAAGGAGAGGAAGGATGACATACAAGCCAGAGGGGTGTAAGGTTGGGGCTTATACATGGCGAATTTCATCTGACTGCTAGGAGCCATGAGTCCGGGAGTGGGTCCGGCGCCCATGCCGCGTTCGTCGAAGATCTGGAGGGTGTAGGTCGCCTCAGCGAAGAGAGGATAGCCGGGCTGCTGCTGGAGCGCATAGGGGTCCCAGGTGATCGCGGTGGCCTGGGCGGGCAGGGTGGAGATGGTGTAGGAGATCTTGTTGAGCGAACAGTAGGCAACCACGGTGATCGAGTTCCCGTAGGATAGGATGTTGGTGTAGTTCCAGCCAAAGGTCAGCGGTTGGTTCTGGGCGATCTTGTAGTAGGAGGCCGCTGCTGTTGCTGGTGGTTGGGTGAATACTAGTCCTCCGGCACTGGTTCATAGTGCTTTGGGTTAGTACTCTGTATATCTAAGCAATAATTTGGATTACTGACGGTGAATCGATCGGTGCTGAGAATACTGATGATGTCGATGGTCCTGGTGCATTCGTTCCAGCTCGGGATGCACTTTGGGTTGCTTGAACTTGACCAGCAGTCGTTGTGGGTTGATTCTGATTCTGGTTTTGATTTGCATTCTGATTCTGATTCTGATTCTGATTCTGATTCTGGTTTGCGTTCTGATTCTGATTCGGGTTCTGGTTTTGGTTTTGGTTTTGGTTTGGATTGTTGACGACTTGACGAGGCTGGAGTTGGTTGTTGGATGGTTGGTTGATGAGTTGGTTGAGAGTGGGTGGGATGATGGATGTGGTTATTAGGATGCAGATGGTCCTGAGGAGGATGAGACGCATGTTGGTAGTTGAAGTGGTTGGTTTGGTTTGGTTTGATGAAGAAGAAGAAGTTGATGATTGATGATCAAGGGCTCTTGACCGTTCGATGGTTGTCTTTGGTTGGTTTTGGTCAGCCTGAGCCAACTCGCAAATCTCAAACAACACCCAGCTTGAGTAGTATGTAAATACATATAACGTAAATTAGCATAACGCATGATCCAACATTAAGCTTTGGGCCACAGATCTCAAGGAACATGGCCTTTTCACAACTTGTGGTTGTGAAGTACAAACATTTGGATTACAATCATTTAGTATTTATTTATCAACTAGTCCCTCTAAAACCTGCTGCAACCACTAAATGATATTTTTCCTCATCATTGGTGGGTGAGCTGAGAAAGCTCATCAATGATAATAATAAGACCTGATACACAATACATACAAATTCATGACATTTGATTCTACACGTGCTCAATATCCCCCCGCACAATGATTGAGTAGCCAACATTAAGAGAATGCTCTGCAACACTTTTTAGAGCATGCCCTGATCATATGATGGAAAGTATCCTTAACATTTGATGGTTAATAGTTGTTGCTGGCTATGTTCTGTGGAAAGTCTCATCTGTGCGGCTCTCAGGAAATATCCAAAGCCTCATCTATAATCCGACTCTTTCCACGATTTCCCCCCGTAAGCTTTACTCAAACACTTACATATCTGACACACCACCGCATCAAATGTCTATCAGTTTGATACATAATATCCTTTTTATTATCGAGGAGAAAGGTAATGCTGATTTAAATTCCTAATCGATCGTTCCGCGATAAATTTACCAAACAATGTGAATGTGATAGGATCTGCAAGTTTAATGGATGGTTGCTTGTCTCTGGATTAAAGCTCGAGGAGTGCATAGAGATCGAGTTGATGACTTTGTGTGCTTCACTTTTTTTTTTTTGGTCAGATTAAAGAGAGGGACGATTTGAGAGCCGCAAGAGCCAAGGTTTTTTTCGAGGAAATGATTTGAATATAAATGCCAATGGGAAAATGAGTTGAAAAGAATCGGCATAAATTATGAGGAATCAATCGAGTAATCAGCTGAGAGAGAACACCCACCCTACGGGGGCCTTGATGACCACCTGCCTGTGATCTTTTGACCAGATTGTGGTTAAGTTTGCAGGGTCCAAGCCGTCCACCTCGCCGAACCAATCCTTCATAGACGCTTTCATGATCCGATAGAGATTCAAGTCGTTGGCCTCATCCATCGATCCACTAAAAAAACAACCAATAGGGTGAACACCCAGTCCCGAAGAACAAACAAATTTTCAGGTTGGGTCTGTCCAGCTGCAAGCTTCTTTCTATGTACCCGCAAAATGCCAGTTGGCGAGTCTCTATTTACGATTCAGCCTGAAATCGCCAAGTCGTCTTACCCTATAACACCAAGCTTGATGTAGTGGTATCGGATGTTCGGAACGTTAATCCTCATGTTGATTGTTGAGCTGGAACGAGTGTTGACTCTTGAGGGTATTCAACCTTAAAATAGGGAAAAGATGGCAAATTGCAAGGGGCCACTTTGGAGGCCACTCACTTCACACGTGTGACATCCATGCGACATTCTCATGAAAGGTGATGATCCGCGGCGCGTCGAGTTCGGATAATGCTATCGATCGATCACGAAATCCGAGCTCAGCATATCTGGCTCCCTTTTCGGACATCCGGCATGTCTGACCCGCCCTCCCAATCCAATCAGGTATGAGACAAAAACTGGACACAAGTTCCAGCTCTTCCAGTTGACCATGGATACTTGATTGACTGAACAGTTCAACTCGGCTGTTCTCATCCATCTTTCAAACATAAGGCCCACCAGATCTTTCAAGAAATGAAGCTTGGCTACATATGTATATTCTGCCAGGATACCAATACTTGCAATAGAATAGCTAGCATCTTGTACCTTAGCTCATATTTATCTTTCTTTGGACCCTTTTTGGTGCTTCTCTTCAGGAATAAATATTGCATTTCCTCCCTCCAGCCAGATAGAGTCTCTGGTAACACTGTTGCCCCATAGGGGATTTAATGGGGCCACTGTGCTCATGCCGTTTGAATGATTAGTTTATCTTTTCACCATCAATTTAATTTCCCAAATATGGCAGAATCAAAGGTCAGCACCTTTGGTAATTTTGATATTCCATCACACATTTTTAGGCCCTTTGCCAGAAGCATCATCTGCCTATGTGTGATATTTCCCTTGCCATTGAAAAATGAACAAATTCTCACAATTAAGCAGCCTAATCTCTGAAAACTTCCCATGACAATCACTCTGATCAGAATAATCATAAAATAAGCAGCCCCTCTCCCTTGCCTGAATCAAAATTTAACAAAACAATTCTTAGGATTGAGTCATGACAATGTTGGTCCATTTCCACATCTTGATAATGCAGCACCTAATCTTGTACTTCTTGGGTTGCTAATTAACCATTATATACCTTTTTTCTTCTTTGGCAATCTTTGTACCCTTTTTGACAATAAAATATGTCTCAATGAATTACAGACATTTCTTTTTTTTTTGAAATCTTCATATGCACCTTATGATCATGAAATCCTCACACAGATAGGCTAAATGGTTTCTTGGTGCTATAAATGATTTGTGATTCACTTCTATATGCATCAACTCACCATCATAATTAATACAAAAACTTCTGGTTCAATCAAAGGCTCAAAATGCTATTTATAATGCAAAGAATTAATTTAGGAGGATGAATACAAAGGAAAATTGTAGGTAAAATATCAGAGATTAAGGAGGATCTTCGTATATTATTGAAGAATGTCAGTGAGGGGTGAATCATCATGTATTATTCTATGTACAACAAACTTCTGATATTTTGGATGAGTGGACTCTGTTTTGGAGAAAAAAGGGGGTATTGGATAATTTACTGTAGTGTCTGGTTATATGGACATTCCTATTTACAGCTATGGGGATATCAACTAGATCGAGTTTTGAATCTATTTGCAAATATCCAGCAAGAAAAAAAAACCAGGAGGGGGAGAGTCAGTTCCGCACAGCAATTTTTCCATCGTGAAGAACTGGAGAAATTCTGGTTCAAGCAGTGAATCATTTGTTTCTAGTTTATTGAAACTTACCTCCGAGTGCGGGCGGAGGAGGGAGGGTTGGGCTCTTGCTTGACAATCAAGGTGTTAGTGGTAGGAGAAGAATCAGTTGCATCTTTCTTGATGCCCAAGGTGTTCATTCGCTTAGTGGGGTCGGGACTGGTGAGAATGGGGCGGTAACTATAATCAATCCAGTCGAGGTAATCCTATTGAAAAGAAGATATTCAAGCCCAGTCAGCTTTTAAATTTGATGCATAAGATCAAAAATCAATCACGAAGACTTACAGGTCCAAGAATATTCTCCGGGAGGTGGGGAGAACGTAAAGGCGTGTCATATAATCTTTTTCCTTGAGCGCCTGGACCGAAGTTACCGAACTCTTGATACTGAACACTTTCTGTGCGTGGATCGGCTGGACTCCAGGCAAGCCATCCATCAGGGTTGATGACATCGCTGAGGTAACTATTTTGGTAAGCCACTTTTGCCCCTCCTCTCCAAGGTCGACCAAGGTAGGCCGTCCCAGGAAGTGCACCGGCGCTATAGACTGTAGCATTATTCAATACATAAAAACCAGCGGTGTCATTGGAATGTCTGCCGCTCGCGGTAATACTTTGCGGTTGCAGCATTTTTCGGTAGACAAAAACAAAGCACAATTTGAGCCAAATACTCGGTTGGTGACTGATCAGCGACTGATACTGAAATGAATGGACTAACGGCTCTTTGGACCCTTTAAGAATTGGGATCGTGACCTGCTCGAACCAAGCGTTGGCATCTCTTCCAAAGATAAAGTCTGTAATGCCAGTACCGCAAAGTTAGCAAGATTCCATGATCATTTAGCGTTTTGGTTGGACGAAAGATGTGAGGGGAACGGGTGAGCTCACCAACAGCGCCTGAAATCTCACAGCGACTGTAGAGTTGTATGCCTCGATAAGCTCTGACAGTATCTTGGAAGCTCTTGAAAGAACAGCTGTAGAAACCTAGATATGGGCGACATTTTAGATCATATGTTACAGGGAACAACTCGAGAAATAAAGAGGCCAAGAAGTTTTGAGACATGAAGTACCTTGTCGGTCACCTTTGGCGTTGATGGCTAATGCTTGAGTATCAGTTCCGGTGCCATATTCGTTGGTGACGTTACTTTTGTTTGTAGGGCGAGGAAGCACGTGTTAGCACGTGCACTGAAATGGAGACCACAAGAAATTTCTTGATAAGTAGACTCACACGAAGTAGAGGCCGAAGCTGAGAAAACAGATTGCCGCCAACAATCAGCCTGGAACACTCTAACCTAAACAACAATCTTCAAGAAGAAGGCAAGGGAAAGGCCAACTCACTCGTTCTTTATGACATTCAACGTCGCACTGGCTTCATTCGATTTGGCCTCTTTGGCACCAAGTGCAAAGACCAAGCTCACAGAATTTTGCCCATTATCGCTCGGCTTTCTGCCGTGGATGATGAGAGGCTGTTGGTTTTTTTTTTGGGAAGGATGAGCTTGTTGAGAAAATTGCTACTGATTTTGCTGGACTTGGATCGTGTACTCACTGGGTCATAGTCCACATAAACCTGCTCTCTGTAAATACCTGTATTGAAGTTCAGCATTTCAGTTTTTCAATCCTACAAGCACAAATATTCGAAGTAGCAAAAACCAACCATCGTGAATGTAGATAACCTGAGGTCCATTTCGATCCTTCAGTGAATTGACAGCGCCCTGGATAGTTCTAGTTTGAGTTGAAAATTTTAAACACAAGTGGGAGTTAGTTGAGGGTCGAATTGACTAGCTTATCTTTACTTTTTGTGAAAATCATAAAATGAGAGGAGTACTACAGCATACCGAAATTCTTTCGGGTGGGTAGTATTTTGTCGAACAATGATAGTGGGCGGTGGAAGGTTGGAAACGTTAAAGAAACGGGAGCCTCTCCCGTTGCCATTGATATCATTAACGGAGGGAGGCGTCACAAACGGTGGTCGGTTTCCGGAAGGCTGTAGCTGCCGGGCATGATGAGTACGGCTTGATGAGATTGATAGAGTGGAAGTAGTGATAATCAGGCAGCCTAGCCATACGACGTGAATCATCATCCTTGCTCTACAGACGAGGTGCATGCTCACTATCCAGTTAAGGCGATGCAATTATTCAAAGGATTATAATGAAGAGGTAAAGAAAAATACTATGTACGTCTTTTTTGCGATATATATACTGATTGGAGGGAAAATCTACCACGAGGGGTTTAACAGTTTACGGAATGGATGATGGAAGAGGATGTGCCCGCGTATGGTTGCTCTTAATCAAGGGAAAAGAGAACTGCCTATGGACCTAGGGGGATGGAGGTGGAACTTGATGAGAGCGCAGGAAGGGCAAGCTATGAGAGGCTTTTGAGTTGATACATCTCTCGGAGAAACTTCCTGGATTACTTCTGTGGTCATCAAGCCTTTCCTGCCTTGCTTCTTTTCAGAAGACCCTCGCGATGTATGGTGAGTTGAACGCTCAGCCTTGAGACTCCGTGGCACTGTTGAGGGAGAGCTGGAACATCATACAAGTAGGTATCCAGAATTCGAGCGAGTACATAGCGCGTCCATTGATACAGATGTTGATACATCTCTTT